TTTTTTTTGCGGAACTGGGGATTGAACTCAGGCCCTTGTGCTTGCCAGGCAAGTGCTTGTTCTTCTGAGCTATCTCCTCGGTCCCTCTACATTGCTTTTGAGGTAATTTTCCCTTAACTTTAAAACACATGGAAAATTCATCATAAGCTTTTTATAGTTTGAAGTAATCCATTTCTTCATTTGAAATTTGAAACTAGACATAAGTGTTTTCACATTGTAAAGTATCTTAACATTGATATAGTCATTACTGCAAAAAGTATGAAGTAACCAGTTCATTGTCTTTGATTTTGAAAGTTTCTCAGTGATGAATGAAGATTCATGTAGTATAATTTTTACTGATTTGAATCACTGTGAAGAATAATGGGAGGTGTCTTCCATGGTAGATTGATATTTACCTAACTAAAAATACTGATTGTTACCCTTCGGTTGTCATTAGTTGTTCATTGCTTTATCGAATTGCAATTTAATCACTTTATCTGTATTCTGTAGCTGGCAGCCTGTGATCGACTACATTGATAGTAAATTTGAGGATTACCTAAACGCAGAATCGCGAGTGAACAGACGTCAGATGCCTGATAACAGGGTGCAGTGTTGTTTATACTTCATTGCTCCTTCAGGACACGGGTCAGTAGTATCTTGATGCTTCTGATGCTTTGTTGCTGCTGCTGCTGCTGTTTGTGCATCTTTAGAGTCTTGATGTCTGTGGAGTCTTAACTAGACAATGAAAAAGTACAAGTCCCATGGTTTGGAGTATCCCTTCAAAAAATCCAGTGCAAGTTAATGTGCTCCTTAGTTCCTTGTGCTTGAGGATTTCACCTGTTCCATGAGAGGAAACTGTCTTTCTAGCATAACTTGAGATCTCAACCTCACTACTTTTGCTTTTGTTTGATTATTTTTTCACTCACTGAACCACCAAATAAGGAGGAACAGCAGTAACGGTGGGGCTTAGACATACTCTCAGGGATTCCCAGTGTGTTAGTACAGGTCTGGTAGGGGAAATCAGAGCCTAAGGGCCAGTGTTCTCTTGCACCATTTCTTTCTGCATGAAGTCTGTTGCCTCCTGTTTCTCTTAGTGCTCAACATCACACTAAGGTTTCATATTGTAGTGCCAACCTCGTGAGTAGCTGGATGTACATGTGCTCTGCTTGTTATTTTTGCAAGTATGTAGCCTATATTCCCTTTGTTTTTTACTCCTTGCACCCCTTTTCATTTTGACTAGATATGTGGCATTATTAGTTGCAGATGTTTCTCATTACTATTCTTGAATCTTTCTTAGAATATATGACTGTCAAAACTCAGCCATTCATATCTCTCCACCAGAAGGACTGGTTTGTGGTGTAATGTCAGACCAAGTAGCATTTTCATATAGTACTGAAAACCAGTTTCCTCACAAGCCTACCTTTCTTTTGATTTTGCCTTCTCTCTCCATCTTTTTCCTAGACAGAGAGATGGTCTGGTGCCCACTTTTACTCACTTTCTTGGCTCACCAGGGAGCCGTAATTATAGTTACCATCTTTGCAGAGTCACATCGGAGTGGTGGTGAAAAATGCTTCGACTATGCCTAATATTCTGTAATGTTCTGAGAAGTTCAGATATTTATATCTCTTAATTGACTCATCTACTTTAAAAAGCTCAAAAAAATTTTCAAAAATATGCTATATTTTGTAGCCTTTTATGACTAGTTGGGTAGCTGCTTCTTGAATTTTACATTTTTTAGTCATTCGATTTTAACTTAACACTTTTCCTTGAAGTCATCTGTATGAAATCTTTAATCTATAGTTAAGTCAGTAGAAATCAGTTTATATCTTTTGGACTCTTTCCAAGTTTTAGTAATTCTCATGAATTCACATTCCTTCCATTCCCCTGGGGAAAATTTATTTCTTAAAATTGCATGGGAAATAAAAGGTTTTTTTGTTGTTGTTAAGAAAAAAATTTCTTTCTGTGATTGAAATGATGTGTAGTGGCTTTGAGCCATTTCTTGTTTGTCACAAGGGATGGGCGTTCCCATGTATAAAAGTATGCATTTGAATAGTTTCTCAGCTTAACTATTTTTAGGAATGGAGCAAAGTTTTGCCTGTTGGTAAATGGTGCTATAGATTAAGTGAAAGAACATGACACTGAATTTTATGTAGAACTCCAGGTCCTGTTCTCATACAGACCGAGAGGTCAGGCAGCCCTGTAAGTGAATCAAGGCCTTTCTGTCTTGTTCAGGGATTCCTTAGATTCCCTTCTCAGAAGGACCCTATTTTTAAAGCAATGTTAAGTTGGCCCATCAATGTACTTTCAGTTTTCAAGGTGCTTTTTTTCTTTTCTGTGATATTGAAGAAGGCACCTGGGCCTTGGCCCTGAGCTACATCCCAGCAGCTCCCCCTTCTGGTCCTGAGCTGGAACTTCCATCCTCCTGCCGCACCCTCGCCAAATGCTTGTGTTACAGCTGTGCGCTTCCACACCCTGTTTAAAATGCTATTTTATACTTCTAATATTGATTACCACTTAAAAAAAAAAAGACCAGTGCCAGTTTTAAGCTCTTTTTCCCCTTAGAAGTATTTGTCGTTTGTCCTATAGTTATTTTGCTGTTTTTCCTCGAACGTAAACTTTTAAAAATTCTGAAAGAACTTTCTGATTTGAAAAATGATTTAAAAGTTTAGTTTGTTGAAGAGATGAAACTAAAGGTACTGAAGAAAAAATTTTAACCAGTATCTATAATCAGCATGTGAATTAAATGCTTTCTGTTGTTACCATATAAACTTTTGAAAATTATATACTGATTCGAATAGGCATAAGACTATTGTCAAGACTTTACTGGGGGTCTCCCCATTTAATTTTAAAACTGATTTAAGTGTTCTCTGGCCTTGTGTTTTATACTTTAGAAGTTGACTTCCTTGATCACCTGTTATGATTATTTTAAAATGTCTTTTCTTTAGAAATTGAGATAGTATAATATTCTGTAAATAACAGAATTAAACCAGACTGTCAGTTTTGCTTTTAAATATAAATCTTGTTAACTTATATTTGACTTTTTTATATTAAATGCTCTTAAGATTTATTAAAATTTTAGGTTAATTGAATTCTACCTTTTTAGCTGGTTTAAGTAGACAAATATACAAAAGCAGATACAAATCTTTGTATAAGCTTCTGATTTAATAAATTACTGAGGCATTGGCAATTTAAAGTTTTCATGAGTATAAACTGAGAAATCAGCGTAAATATTTAGGAACCTGAGACTGAATTATCCATATAATTGGCATCTGTATTTAGTGTATGTAATGATAGATGAAAAGGAGCAGAACTTACTCCATAGAGATAAATATGATTTTTTTTTCCTGTTAGTACTAGTTAGCTAAGGCACTATTTCAGGTAATGTAGGTGCAGTTATCCTAGCCACAGTCCCTCTTCCATAGTGTTCCTTATTCTCTGAATCCCTGTAACAAATTCCAGGACATTCAAGACAAGGAGAGTTGGAGTAGGAGGCAGTTGTGTGACTTCTCCATATTTATTTCCTTCCCCTTTCCCTCTTTGTACTGGTCAGCCATGCTACCATATGTGGTATATATTCTTCAGTGTATTCTTAAACTCTGTGTCCTATTGTTCCCAGTTTTAGCTATATGTTTATTTCTATTTATTTGAAAACATTAGGCTATTTAATTGCTAAGTCTAATCATCAATAAAATTAATAACGTGTTTATTCTGTTTTCTCATTGTTTTACAAAAGTTAAGGAATGCCATGTTAGCCAGGCTTTAATCTTTACACTCTAGGGGGCTTCAGTCGAGGCTCACAAATTCAAATTCAGCCTAGGCAATTTAGTGAGACTTTGCCTCAAAAAATTAAAAGGAGTGAGGGATATGTACCTCAATGCAAAGGCCTGCCTTCAGTCTCTAGTGACACACACAGACACACACCCAAATATCACCCTAGAGTGGTATTCCTGTGCAATTTTTTTTTTATTATTTTCATGGGGAGCATTAATTTTTCATCCCCCAAATATTCTAGTTCTAAAGACTTTGTTTGGTTTTCACTTAAACTTACTATAAAGAAAATGATAACAGTTTACTTTTTTTGTCAGCATATATTTGACAAAAAATGCATTACCACCTCAGCATTATGCTAGGTGCTAAGGATATAGATGAATGTGAGGTATAAACCTCGCATTGGGGGTCCTCTTTCAATAAGAAAGTAGGAGAAACAAATACATGGGAGGGTGCTTACTGTATTGCATACTAAGTATGTGGTCAACTAGGAAATTGCCTTGTCTTAAGAGAAGGCTTTGGCTCTGGGAACCAGGGCCAAAAGGGTGACTAGGAATCAGGCCAGTTCAGAAGACAGTGGGATTAGAGGGTGTTCCAGGCAGAGTTCTCATCATGTGGCCACACTTGGAGGGAATTGTGAGTTCAGAAGGACATGGCAGAAGGTAGGTAAGAATTCTGAGAAGTGAGCCAGCTGGAGAAGCCTTGTCTTCCAAGCTTTGTAGGCCACACTGGCTGAGAAATCTGGCCTTCACTGTGATTTCCATTCAAGTAAAGACTCATCATTGGCTGCAGAATGGATGGCTTGTAGAAGATGGAAGGGCTTATCTAGTTGTCCATTCCACAGGTTTTGGTGGCTTGAACTAAAGTAATAGAAATGGATATTCTGGCATGGGTACCAGAGTACACACATGCATGTTTCCTTCAGTGGTTTTTGGTGAATCTTTGAAAATAGAGAGGAGTCCTAGATTTTAAGCTTGACTCCTTGGGTGGATGGTACTGTCATTCACTGAGCTAAGATGCTTGGGGCCAGGGGTGATAGCCCGGTAGAATAAGCGTTTGCCTGGCAAGTGCAGGGTCTTGAGTTCAATCCTTGGTCCTGGAAAAAAAAGAAAGAAAAGAAAAGATAGGATGCATGGACAAATTCATGGAAATTCAGGATGAGCTTCTGATTTTTGGAGCCCAAGGGATGTCCCAGTATTACAGCCACTGGATAAATAGAACTCTAGAATTTCAGAGTAAGATTTGGACCGTGTACATAAATTTAGGAGTTACTGGCCCATACAGGATAATTGAATTCTGTTGTCATTATAACCTAACAGAATGTAGTAAGAGGGCAGGGCATTCTGAGGAATGCACGTTTTTCAGGGACAACCTTATAAAGAGGATCCTGAGAAGTACCCAAAGGATCCTAGAAGAGCCTCTGAAGCAGTAATGGCAGATGCAGTATAGTGGGCACATTAGTGTGGTCAGCACCACAGAGAAAATGTTTGTGACTAGAATTGCAGTGGCTAGGTAGAGGGGTGCCTGTTTGTAACAGACAAAAAGATGTTGGAGATTATCCTGAGTATCTTGTTGAGAAAGATGGACATAGAACTGAAGATATAGTTGAAAGAGAATTACCATTTTCATGTTTAAAAAAAACTTGGAAAAATTTTAGTAATAAATATAGAGCCAAACTACAAGAAATTGTTAGGACCTCTTCTGATTTTTCAAGTTCTTCTCTAAGGCCCAAATCCCTATGACTGTAGAGTTCAGTGGCAGGAGTCAAAACTTAGCTACTCTGATGTTTCTTAAAGTTCTGTTCTTCCTACCTGTTGGCTGGTCCAGTGCATGTTTTGAGGAAACATGTTTCTGGTAATAAAGTTGTTCACTGCATTTAATTGGTCATTGGGATGTAAAAAAAAAACAGCTCCCCAAATTGTTCATTGGAGTCATACTCAATATGACATATTGTGTATTTCAGACTTAAACCATTGGATATTGAGTTTATGAAGCGCTTGCACGAGAAAGTGAATATCATCCCACTGATTGCCAAAGCTGACACACTCACGCCGGAGGAATGCCAACAGTTTAAAAAACAGGTGAGCAGAATGAATGGACTCTGGGGTTTCCCACCTTTCATGTACTTCCCAGTTTTATTGCTTTTAGTATAATATGTTGCAGTCCACATCTCTTGAGGCCCCACTACATTGTTTATATTGTATTACAAATTACTCTTGAAGATACTTTCACCTTCCTTTTCTTCCCAAAGCTCTTACTCAGCATCATAGTACCCATGTTCTTTGTCAGTTTTTAAAGAAGTCTATTTTGCTTTTCTGTTTTTATTTTGTGCTGGGAACCAAACCCAGGAACCTCACACTTGCCAGGCAAGCCCTGTGTTGCTGAGTTATATCTCTGGCCCCTTGTTTATGTAGCCCAGGGTGGCCTGAAACTCGTGGCTATCCAGCTGCCTCAGCCTCCCCCAAGTGCTAGGATTACAGGTGTGTGCCACCACACCTCGCTGATAACCTATTTAAAAATACATTATTTTTTAAATAACCCTGTCACCATCCCACTCCACCCGTTAGAATTATTTTACTTTTCAGGAATGTTGAAGATTTTTTAAAGCAAGAGTTTGTTGCTTTTAAAAATTTATTTTGTGAACATCTTGTTCAAAATGCTTTGAGCAGTAGTATGTCCTTGGTATTGCTTATGTGTATTTATGTAGCTTTTCCTTATTCTGGGTATTTATTTTTGTCTTCTTTTTTCTCTTTATATCTTAATTTTATTTTGATTATGTTTTATGCAGTACATGCATACACAAATACACACCATTTAAACTTTTTTTCTAAATTAGTGTCCTGTTAAGTCAGTTACACTGCGTTAAAGACAGAGCTTCTCATTTTGTTGTGTTTGGCTTATTATAGCTGACATTTTATGAAATGAGGCTCAATTTATAGAACTCTCTTCTGTTGCATCATCCCTTTTATATTTTATACCAGTGTTATGTTTTTTAAATTTTATAAATTTAGAATCTAGTACCGTAAAGCCTGTAGAAAGTAAAAGTTTGTTTGCTTTGAAGTTGTATTTTTCTTTTAAATATTTTATTTTTATTTATTATTTTATTTTTATTTATTTGTGTGGGTGTGGGTGTGGGTGTATGTGGCCAGCAGGGGGCAGGGCTGGCTGGCATGTGGTGCTGGGGGATTGAACCGCAGTCCCTTTGCTTTGCTAAGCTTGTTCTAAGCAGGTGCTTTAGACCACTGAGCCATTTCACCAGCCCCTGTTATCTTTCCCCTTCTGTCTTGAGTTGTACATTTGAATTTGTACTGATAACTTGGGAGATCAAAAAGATGAATAAGTAATAACATATGCTTCTGAATGGGTCACAATGTAGTGGTTGTAAGGATTTCTTTTCCCTGTCTGTCTTTCTTTGTTTCATGGGTCTGAACTTGTGTTTGCTGGCACACACTTCATCATGAAGCCACACTCAGAGCCCTCCTTTTCTTATGGTTCCTATCTAGGATACCTATCACAATCACCTAAAACCCATCTTCAGAATGATTTGTTGGGCATTATCCCTGTGAAGTGGCTCTGTAAGTGTAAGTAAGGAAGAGAGTTTATCTTGAAAGTGTTCACTGAGATCATTGTAGTGCACAGCTGCTGACCGAGGACCACTGCTCTCGGCACTAAAGACAGGACAGCTGTTTCTTTTTATGTGCTAGTTACCAGTTCGTTACTTATTCTCAAGCCTTTTCTGTGTAAGTAAATATGTACCTTGAAGTTATAGATACCCAGTGTAATTACTATTCTTCAACTATTTCATTATAAAGAAGTTTTATTTTTCATTAAAAAAAGAAGATGTGGCCCTGGTGTTTACCACTAACAAGTTTTACTTGTTCATTCCTAACTAGTACAGTAGCTACATAATTTGTTCTGTTTAAGGTACCTTTGCTGCCCGAGGGAGCCTCCTGCCATGAGAATAACACAACATCTAAAATGCATAGGCAGGGAAACTGGTAGTGGGTATGTTAGCCATAGATTTGTTGTGAGTTCACAAAGCTGGGCAGTTAAAAATTACTTGAATGTATGTATTTCTGTTTGGGAGTGACTTTTGACAAGATGTTATAATTTGAACTAGGTCTTCTTCCTGAATGTATTAGTAAGTTTTCAGTGTTCTTTTTAAAGTCTCTTGAGCTTGTTCAGTCATATGTCTGGTGCTTTTTGTGCAAATCTTTTTTTGTGTGTGTGGCTGGCTCAGCCTTGGGGGCAAGGCTGGTTCAGCATGTGGTGCAGGGGATTGAACTGAGGTCCCTAGGCTTGGCTAAGGAGGCACTTTAGACCACTGAATTATCTCACCAGCCCTGTCTGGTGCACTTTGATTTGTGTACATGTATGCACACGTGTACCTGTGAGGATATTTTTCTGATTAGAGTGTAAATTTTTCATCTGGAGCCAATGTACTTAGTTCTAATGGCCTTTGCAATGGTTTGCTAATAGTTTTAGGTGACTTCAGGTCCTGTTGGTTCAGCTAAGACAATTGATGAGTTGTTGCAGAGAAAGAATTTCAGTTCTAGTGACAGAAGGACCTAAGGTCATTGTATTAGAAACCAATGGGGAAAATCCCTTTCTAGAACCTTAGGTGTATTTTGAAACACTTTTTTTTTTTTTTTTTTTTTTTTTTTTTTGTGGAACCGGGGATTGAACTCAGGTCCTTGCGCTTGCCAGGGAAGCGCTTATGCCACTGAGCCATCTCCCCGGCCCCATTGAAACACTTTTAGTAAGGTAACCATATGACTTTAATACTTCTGAAATAGATTTTGGTATTTATATATAAACGTTACAGTTTAAGAAAGCAAATAGCTTAGTTATTTGATTTTTAAATTACAGTTCTATATCATTCAAAAACAATAAAGAACCAGAAATTGAGGTTCATAAAAATCCAAGGACTATTTGACAAAAAATAGGGCTAATCTACTGATTATGTGTGATGCTGTTTTGCTAACTACTGCTTCTGTTTTAGATAATGAAAGAAATCCAAGAACATAAAATTAAAATATATGAATTTCCAGAAACAGATGATGAAGAAGAAAATAAGCTGGTTAAAAAGATAAAAGTAAGTTTATTCTTACATGTAAACTAAAATATTTTCCAGCCTTTCTCTGCTATCCACAGGAAAGACCAAAAATATCAATGTTTTAAGTAATTGACTTCCAAAATAAATGAGGTTATAAAATACTAAATTCAGCTTGCAGTTAACCTTGTTGATTAGCTGTTATATGTAAAACGTGGAATAGGTTGGTGAGTAACACAGTCCAAATGGGTTTCAGGTAACTGGATTACACTTATAGGCGCACACAAACATTTTTCCCCTTTAGGAATCTAGTAATGAGAACAGAGATTTCATTCTGTTAATGTTTTCATTTGTCAGAGTTGGGCAGAAATGTGTTTTGTTTGCCCTTTTATAAAAAGTAAACCATAAATTTATGCCAGAATAATTTTTTATTTTGATTTTTCATGATTTCTTGGTGTTTTGAATCTAAAAAACTTATATGTGTGTATATACATATATATGTATAGTAGAGTTGTTCCCCCCCAAAAAAAAAATGTATACACCAGGAAAGAATGAACTTGCATAATACTAAATTCATTGAGTAATTGTGAGAATAATACAAGTCACTTTTAGCCTCTTACAATTGCAAGAAGGGTTCAAATCGATGCCATTTGCTTCTAAGCATTTGTTAGTATGATAAACTAAAATGTGCATACATTTTTTTTTGCCAGACTGTTTGGATTTTTGGTTTGGGGGTTTTTGTTTGTTGAGTTGGTTGGTTGGTTGGTTAGTTGGTTGGTTGGTTGGCTTTTTTTTTTCCTTTTTTTTTTTTCTTACCCCCCCACCCCCCGTTGGCTTTTTTGAGGCTATGTCATTTAGGCTGCCCTTGACTTTGTGACAGTCCTCCTGCCTCCATCTCAGAGTACAACACCATGCCCAGCCCTAAAAATAGTACATTGAGTGATGGAATTGTTTAAGCAAATCCATTTATCTTAGAATTAATGAAGATTTATGTCTGACTAGTGAAGAATTGGGAGGTTTTATAAAACAACTACATGCATATTTCTGGGAGCTGTATGAATTCTGAAACATTTTACCCTGATTGAGTTGGAGCAAACACAAATATCACTTGGATCTGAAATTTCCAAAACTAAAGTTTAGTAAATCTTAATATTCCCTGCTGCTAGGAGTATTAGAGTTGGTTTATGGTTAGCAGGCTTTCCCTCTCTAAGTGCCAGTATGGATTTTTTAGTCCTTTTCTTTCAGCTTTTTGGAGTACTTTTTTTTACTTCAGTAACTTGGCTAGCATATGTGTTAATATTGTTAAAATTTCAGAGAAAATATTACTTATCATTGTTTACCTTGATGGTAATGGCATTTTACTAAATATCATGTTATGGCAGTTTACTACTTATTGTCTGGCCTATAACAGTGAATATAGAAACAGAGTAATCTTATTCTTTCAACTGAAGTCTCATTTGTGTTATTCTTGAATTGTGAGGACTAAGAGGTGTATGTGAACCAGAACACTTGATTTTCTAGGACCGCTTACCTCTTGCTGTGGTGGGCAGCAATACTATCATTGAAGTTAATGGCAAAAGGGTCAGAGGAAGGCAGTACCCTTGGGGTGTGGCTGAAGGTAAGGTTTTTCTATAATGAATTGAGTTTTTCTAAGATCTCACAGTTTTATTTAAACATTTGTGTTTATATTAAGTGGTACAATATGCATACTATTTGGATTACTCTAGATTTTCAAGGATAACTCTGTTTTCATTTTTGCTTTTGTCTCATTTTCCTTCTAAGTATAGTTCTGTTCTTTAGTCCTCACATCCTACTAAGTTGGGCCAGTATGTATTAAACCCTGAAGTTGTGGTACTTTGAAGTCAACCTGTCAGTGCTCATGCTGTCTCTGCTCCATCAGCTCAGTTTCTATTGGGTTTGGTTTGGTTGAAAACATACTTAATTCAGGAGTCTTTTTATCCTGGGTCTCAAAATGCCTTCCAAGGGAGCTAGGGAACCTTTGGATAGAGAATAGTTTGGAGAAACTTTCGTCTGAGTTTAAAAATGAGTCAGAGGCTCTCAGAAATGATGGGAAACATTTATGAACCCAGTTAAAACATTCACCATCTCTTTCCTCAAGACAGAAGTCATGTTTTGCTATCTATCATGTCTTTAAAGTAATTTTTTTTTCTTTTTTTTTAAATTTTGGATGCAGGATCTTGCTTGAACTCATTAAGCAGCTCAGGTTGACCTCAAACTCATGGCAACCCTCCTACCTCAGCCTCTAGAATAAAAACTGTGTGCTAAGAGATCCTCTTTACTAGTTTTGTAAAGAGTTTTAAATGTCAGTTAAATTGTAGGCGTAATACCATCCATTCCTTAGAAGTCCTCTTAGCCATAGATGTGTTTCCTCAAATTTATTGTACTGACTTAAACTAATACTTAATATTGCAAGTTGGAGTCATGATTGTTTTAGTTATTTATTGGTATTATTTTGAACAGTTCTGTAATTTTTAGGATCTCATGCCAAGTTGCTGTTCTTCTCAGTGACTTTCCCCACCAGTGAACCTGCCCTTGCTGGCCTGAGGCTTTAGAAGTTACTCTGCCATTAGGCATCTGTCCTGGATAGTTTGCTTTGTGTCTCCAGTTTGTTCTAGTTTTCTTCTCTGCAGCTCCCGAGTAATGTTCCTGTTAATGACTCATTACTTAAAAATGAAGGGGCTGGGGAGATGGCTCAGTAGAGCACAAGGGTCTGAGTTCAATCCCCGGTTCTGCCAAAAATAAATAAATAAATAAATAAATAAATAAAATTGAAGAATCGTACAGTTCTTTTGTCCCTTTTTGGGAGTGTGTATGTGGAGGGTCATCTCTTAAGGATGAGCATTTTATAAAATACTTTCACGCTACTGAATTTCAAAGATGTATTTTATTATAGAATAAGTATATTTTCTGCCATATTGAAAAAATGCATGCTTTACCCTTTCTAATTTTCAAACTTTTTTTCTACAGAGCTCATTTATTAGGTTTATGAAACTTAGCACTGAAGATATAACTATAATAAAGTAGCACTATCATGCAATTTTCTGTCATTCCCCTGAGCTCTAAAATAGTATTAAACCTTGTGAAAAATTGATCTGAGCATTCCACATACTGTCACCCCCAAGAGCCTGTGAAATTTTATTTGAAAAGGCTGGGTTTACTTGCAATAATGTATATGAATTTTTCTCTTACAGTTGAAAATGGTGAACATTGTGATTTTACAATTCTAAGAAATATGTTGATAAGGTAAGCCTGAACAGTGATGAAATAGCCTAAGGCATTTTTGCCCTAAAAGTTAAAGAGTTGGACAGTTTTGCTTTTGGCTTTTATTAGTATAGCTAATTTTAATTGGTATCTTCATTCTAGCAATGAAGTAAGTACTGTGTGGGGATAACTTGTGTTCTTTTTACAAGGCTAAGTCATCAGCAAAAACAAAATAGGGTAAATGGCTAGGAGTATAAAGGGGCACTGGTCTCTGTATCCGCACACTTCATGTTATATAGGTATGGAAAGTGGGAAAGACTCTAATTTTAAGTGGTGAAAAGTGTGGGGACGTGACAAGGAAAAGCTAGTTTGTGAGTCAAGAGGAGGACTTGATGTGTTAAAACGTGCACACAGTAGTGCTGGTGAGTGGCATGTTTCGTTTGCTGCGACATGGTGGATGGAACCATTTCCTCAGTGAGGAAGTCTGCCTGCTGACTAAGAAGCCGGGTAGCAAGGTCCCTAGGGAGGCGCTGGGCATAGGAAATGCATAAGGAGACAGGTGGGAAGCCAAGGAGCATGCCTGTGCCCACGGGAACATGCCCAGTCTGCTTGTCTTGTTTGCTCTGAGGCCTCCAGGCAGGGATGCCTGGCTCTAGTCAGCAAGTGCGGTTTTCACACTGCACCTTGCCTTCCTGCCACACAGCAGCTTCTTTAGCTGGACAGGTAAAGAACACAGTCCTGGTACAAGACCAGCTCACATCCTCTTCAGCATCTCCTACCTTTGAGGAACCACAGAGTCATTTCACATGAATTGAGTAGCTGATCCCCATCGACTTTATGTATGGAAATGCTGGAAGCAATGTTTTAACCAAAATAGCAAATTTGCTGGATAGTTTAAATAAACAGATTTAAATTAACATTTTTTCAGATTGAAAATAATTGAAAAAAAAAAAAAAGAAAATAATTGATTATATAAACTGAATTGTCTCTGTGGATTAATCTAGTAAAAATTCTGTGGTTTTTTTTTTTAGTAAATGCTTAAGGAAAATAATTTCTTATAGATTTTATGAACTTCAGTAGTAGTTAATCTAGTCTCCTTTAATAAAATCAAGTACAGGTATGTACTATAAAGGAAAAAAATTCTTTTATAGAAATTTCATCTTTTAATAATTATTTTATTTATGGCTCTTAAAGTCTCACATGGAATATTAATTTAAATCTGGACATTTTGTATCAGTAAAGCTTTGAATCTACCCCAAAGCTGTTTTAATAGAAGAAAACGTCTATTGTTTATGACAGGACGCACATGCAGGATTTGAAAGATGTCACCAATAATGTGCACTACGAGAACTACAGAAGCAGAAAACTGGCAGCTGTCACTTACAATGGAGTGGATAACAACAAGAACAAAGGGCAACTTACTAAGTAAGTATGTAGGTCTTTTCATCCAAGAGAGGCAGTGTTTTCATCAAATGTCTGTCATGTCAGTGTCATTGTCATCAGATTTCCTCTTGTTACTCATTAGAAAATTTGGACAATGTTCTCTACATACTGCAGGAGAAAACCATTTTGGTAAGCTTGTTTTGGCAATCTACATATTACTGTTTTTGTTTTTTTATCTTGTTCTTTAACTGTACAGGCTGTTCATTTTCTTGTGGCCATTTGCCATTGCCTTTCTGATCATACACAACACATAACAGAATTCCAGTTAAAAATCAAACAGACCTTTTAGCAAATACATGTTTTTGAGGAAAATGATGGTTATTACCAAGATCTGTTGAACCCCCCTTTACACTTAAGATATTGTTTAATAAAAGTAAACATACAGATTCTACCTTTAGTGAAAGCTTTTTAGACATGTTATATTGGAGTAGTTTCTACCAAGATTATATAGAAACGGGGGCCAGGGAAATGGTTTAGTAGAATAAGCACCTCCCTGGCAAACAAGGGTCTGAGTTCAATCTGTGGTTCCACCAAAAAAGAAAAAAAGAAACTGGCCAGTCGATAGCTCAGTGGACTAAAACACCTGCTTAGGCAGAGCGCAGTGGCCAGGGTTCGATCCCCGGTGTGCTGTGCCGTGTCATGCCGGCCCTGCCCCCAGGGCACACTTGAGATGGTGATTGAAACTAGGCATGGTGGTGCACACCTATAATCCCAGAGTTTGGGAGGCTGAAAACAGGAGAATCACTACAAGTCCAGTCTACATAGTTAGACCCTGTAGATCCTGTACTAAATACATTAAAAAATAAAATAAAAGATTATACAGAAACAAAGGACCAAACAAAAGGAATAGTTACATGAATATGGTCATGTTACCACCTCTGCTCATGTTGTATGTTTCCAAGGAATGGTTTGGGTGTTTGGATTGCTTCTGTTAGTTGTGAGAATGGGTGACTACTGGGCTGGAAGCTGTGCCCTGCTGAGCTTGTATCTCTAATTAGGGTGGTTTTTGATGGAAGCAAAGAAGATGTGTGAGTTGGGCATGGTGGTGCATGCCTGGAATCCTAGCACTTGAGAGGCTGAGGCAGGAAGTTGTCAGGATTTTGAGGTCAGCCTGGACTATACAGTGAAACCCTATCTCAAAAACTTAACCAAAAAAAAAGTGAGAAAGTTGGTAGGTTCTTGGTATGCTGTTTTGTTTTGTTTTTTTTTTTTGTTTTTTTTTTTCCCTTTATTTGGGATTGTAGAACACCAGAATTTTGATGAAAACCATTTTAAATACCGTGCATTTGTAATTGTGCATTATCTCCCATTGAAAAAGAATCCTGAAGGGCTATCTATATAACTAAGAAACGTAATTTCTTAAACAGTGTTTCGTAGTAATCAGCACACCTAGTGGCATGGAAAATGTCCTGCTTTTCTATCTTAAACCCAAGATTTAATTGGAGGTAAAGTTCACTGAATGACTTGTTTCTGAGAAAAATTAGTGGACTGGGGAAATAGCTCAGCAGCCTAAGTGCCTGCTAGGCGAATGCATGATCCTGAGTTTAATCCCCAGTACCAGAAAAAGAAGAATGAAAAATTTGTATTGAACAACTTTATTTAGCACAAAAATAATAAGGATTGTAATGAATTAATATGGTTCATAAAATCCTGATCTCCTTTAAGTGCATTTTCCTTAAATTGAGGATTTTGTAACTATTTAAAAGAAAAACAATAGGGCTGGCCAAATAGCAGATTAAAGCGCCTGTTTAGGCAGACACAGGAGCCAGGAGTTTTATCCCTGGGCTTGCTGTGCCGGCCCCACCTCTGGGTCACACTGAAGTGGTGACTGAGACTGGGCGTGGTGGTGCCCGCTTATAATCCCAGCACTTGGGAGGCTACAAACAGGACGATCACTACAAGTCCAGTCTATGCAGTGAGACCCTTTAGACCCTGTCCTAAAATACAAAAATAAAATACACAAAGCAACTAGTATTATAATATGTGTACAGGCAAATGTACTAGTAGCATATATTTTTCATTAAATGTTTACCCATGTTCAATTTTAAAATTTAAATGCGTTCATTTCTAGACGTAGATTAGCTGTTCCTACATTTCACGCATAATGCTTTTTAAAGTTATGCTGATGGAATGTTCCTGCTGTTGGGTGCAGGTAAGGTAGTTCATGGAAAAACAATAAAACTTGGACTATTCATTAAAAGTTTTTCAGCATATTTTATGCAAAATTCTGCTTTGTGGGTTTCACTTGAGTTAAACTATGACCCAAGTTTTAAAAAGTAGAACTAATATAAGAATTCTATTGAAAATGTCTGTCTCTTTATTTTAGAAATGTGCCTCTTAATGAGATGAATCTTGACCAAACTTTCCTTATGTCGGTAATGAAGTAATTTGTACTGGTAAAAAAGCCAGTTGACCCAGGAACTGGCAAAGTACTTTGTTAATAAAACTTAGAAAAATACCTGTTTTTTTAAAGATTAAAGCAATTAGGGAATGGCTGTAATTGAAATAGGCATTTGTTATGATCTGATAAATTAGCTTTTTATCACTTATTAAATAGCACAAGTTTACCCATTGGTTAAACCTTTTGTTGTCCTGAAATGTGAATTTATTCTAAAATTTAAAAAAAAAATCAGTGTCAATAATTGATGAGCTTCAGCTGATGTGAGACACTTTTACTTAGAGCTAGGTACATCCCTATGAATAACTAAAAAGAGAGACTAATGCTTTAATGTATATAAGCAGCAGGAGTTCAGGCTTCTTTCTCACTGGTGTTTTGTATTACTCTGAGGGACTCTTCCTCCATAGCACTGTTTCCCTTGGGAGTTGTACCAGGGACAGCAGGTTTGATGTCAGGAGGACCCTGGAGTGGAAGAGGCAGAGTCCTTTTAAAAAAGATAAAAGCCTACCATTGCCCCACTACCCACTGTGCTGTGTACCTGAGTTCAGAAGGGCCCCTCCTACCAGCCCCACACACCATGCTTCTAACATCTAAAACCATATTTGGCCATAATAGAAACATTGCAATACCGGGAGGCTGAGATGCCTTCTGGGTCCACAGCAAGGCCCGCGCATCACTGAAGGAGACACCTCGAGTGAGCAGTGGGGAGAGGGTGGGGCCGTGTTCTGTCAGGTAAGAGAAGGGCTGTGTGACCTGGGAATTGGCAGGCGGTAACTGTGGGCAGGAGTTCATCTGAAGGGTGAGCATCTCGAAGTAGGTTCTCTTAAAACTCCCAAGGCTTGAATAACTCTTGGAGGATTTCACAGAGTCCCCAGTTTTGTTTTGTTTTTAATATATTTGGTATGGCGTACACCAGGGTCTCACTACGTAGATCGGACGCATAGTGATCCTCCTGTTTTTAGCCTCCCAAGGCTGAAATGACAGGTGTGCATGTCACCATGCCGTCTCAGTTGCCCTCTCAGTGCCCCCCAAGGGCGGGACCAGCACAGCAGGCTGGGATCGAGGTCACTGCATTCTGCCTAAGTAGGCGCTTTAGTCTGCTGAGCTATCTGGCCGGCCCAAGGTCCCCAGTTTTAAAATCACTAAATGAGACAATTTCTTTGATCCTTTTAAAACTTGGTGCTACCACTTTTAAAAAGATTTGATTGATGGCTTTGTCTGAATTATTGTCTGTCATTGGCACCACTTGACACTGTTGGCGTTGTGCTCTAGACTGGGGTACTCTCAATTACCCCTTTGCAAAGTTTTGACGTTTCTCTTTCCTGTAACTTTCTCCACCTGCCATCTTGGGAAAGCTTTTCAAGTAACTGACTGCTTAGAATTGATTGAAAGTTATGGCTTCCAGAATCTCCTCTTGTGACAGTGTTTTCATCTAAAGAAAGGAACAATTTTCTGAAAAACACCAGTTACAGGTTGAAGCAGCAGTGCTGGAGCCCAGGAGCTCAACAACAGCCTAAGGAGCTTAGGGAGAACCTGACTCTGAGAACAAAATTTTTTCCTAAAGGTTGTAAGTTTTCCAAAACAATAAATTTTGTTATATTTTTTACTCTTTGTTCAGATTCCTCTCATAAAAAATATAATGATGGTAGTTGGAATTTCATCTTGTCCTTGTTTGGTTTTAATATTTTCACTTGGCAAAATAAAATATTGATAACTTATATCCACAACTTTTGGGGAAGTTTTGTTAGTCCTTAAAATCTCTTTAAATGAAATTCCTTTGGAAATCTTGCAGCAGTTGGTCTAAGTAACCAGTACCTTACTGAGATTGGCATGCATGTGTGTCAGTCTGTTTGCTCAGTGTGTCCTTCAGAATGGACGGCCACATGTGGTCCTTCCCTGCTTCTGTCACTAGATGCACAGAAGGCTCTGCTGTGTAAAAAGAACCCTAGAAGGAATTAAGTTTCATGTTTAGATATTTCATTTGATATTCAGGTTATGCTGTAGGCTTTTTTATTGCCTTTTACCAGACCTTTCATTTTATTGACTGGGTTGCTGTTAATTTCTCTGACAAGTTTAGGTTTATTAGCTTTCAGCATATCTGTTGGGGGAAGAATTTCCCAATAAAAAAATAGACAGGCAATAGTATAACTTAAAGGATTTTTCCGCTGTCTAGTAAAAATTTTTCTTGAGGGAAAAACATAAATGTGATGAGAAAAAAAATGATCTTTTTCCCTGTTTTTAAAACTGGAAGCACAGTTTTGTATTACAGTTTTCTAAATATTACTTTGATAAAGATATTGAAAGTGAAGTGCTAATTAATTAAAAATGAAAAAGATTTGAAATCTTTTTTTTCTCCCCTCATAAGATGCTTCCAAAAATCCAGTTTAGAGGTATATAAGTATTTTACCCTATTACTTGAAGAGTAGTTCATTTAGTCAGGAGTCAAATATTTTTACAAGGCTAAAAAAAAAAGTATCTCAAATGTCAAATCGTGCAAATTTCTTTTGAAAATGCACATATTTAATAGGTGTAGAATGCTAGGCTGTCAGAAGATAATTGCACTGTTTATTTTCATAATAATTTGTAATCGTAATTACTAACAATTTGGGAAATAAAATAGCTTTAACAAAATTTACAATGAACTTCTGTCAGCATATAACAATTATTTAATTGTGAAAGTTATGCATTTTCCTTTTTTGTAGTTTTAGTGTTAAGTATGTTGGTTTTAGTGTTAACAGTTGCTTTTCCAAACACATAAGTACTCTGCAGAGATTTCTAATATTTAAATTTTAAATTTAAAAGCAGATTCAAAACCACATTGTCACATTTCTGTGCAGTGTCTTATTTCCTCCCAAGAGTTTTTTAATGTATTTAGTACAGGGTCTGCAGGGTCTCACTACACAGATCGGACTCATGGTGATCCTTCTGTTTTCAGCCTTCCAAGAGGTGGGATTACAGGCCTGTGCCACCATGCCTAGTCTCAGTGTGCCCCAGGGGTGGGGCTGATGCGCTTGGTAAGGGGAGATGGGGAGGTTCGAACCCCAATCCCTGCGCCTGCCTAAGCAGGCACTTCAGTCGGCTGAACTAGCTGGCCGTCCCTCACTCCAAGAGTTATTTAAATAATAATTTAGGTGACATGGTTTACTCTTGGAAAGCCAGTAGGTAGTCTTTTCATGATGAATTACTATGAATTCTTTATGTAAATTGCCCGTCCTCTACCAAGGGTAAAGTAAGATCAGCATTTTATAGATAGGCTCTTATAAGTAGGAATACACATTTAACTTTTAAAATAATCACAGTTCTAAATTCTGATTTTATATGCATTTGAATATGTATAGTTGTTGTGCTGGGGATCAAACCTAGGGCCTTGCCCTGAGTTACGTCCCCAGCTGTGTATTTTTTGAGCCATCTTGCTATCACCAGGACCATCACCAGGTCGGCTTTAAGCTCTTGGCTCTTGCCTGAGCCTCCCAAGTAGCAGGTCACAGGCAGCATCGCTGCACCTGGCCTATTTGTAAGCTTGTTATCTTGAATTTTTTCTTTTTTCAATCACAGCTGTATCGGGTGCAATCAAAATTGCTTAAGTATATATCTTCAGTTACAAGACCATCAAAACTAGTTATTGGAGTTTTCTCTAGAGTCTTAAGAGGGTATTTTAGAAGGTTGAGGGGAATCATGGAATTAGAATCTCTTTGAAAATCTTAACAAATCCTTGGGTCCTCTTAGTGGAAAAATGAGCATGACAGAGCAATTTTAGGCAGTCAGCAGCACACTGTTCAAAAGGCCAGAGGCCCCTGTATGTTAAACACAGCAGCCGTTAAGGAATATATTGTTACAAGGATCTTGTTAACTTTTTTTTTTTGGTACTGGAAATCGAACTCAGGATCTTGTGCTTGCCAGGCAGGTGCTTGTGCCGCTGAGCTATATCCTGGGCCCCTTGTTAACTTTTAATGAGATGATGATATTATACCTAGAGACTTATTTCCTTGGTGTTGCTCGGCTCTTGTTCTAAGTTAGTATCCTGGTTTAGTTTCATTTTCAGAAGTTCTAATTGTTCAAGGCAAAAATACTTCAGGTTTGTATAGTATTAGAAATTTTATTTTGGTAAAAATACATCCTTGAGTTAAGTAACATTTTTCTCCTGATTTTACTAACTGAAACTATCTTGATCACATCAGTCTTTCCTTTTTTTTAAGGGCACACAGAGTTTCTGTGTGTAGTTCAGGCTGACCTTAAATTCATTGTGGAGCCCAGGCTGGCCTTAAACTCAACACACTTCTCCTGCCTCAGCTTCCCAAGTGCTGGAATTACAGGCATGCACTACCATACCTAGCTGTCTTTTTTGCTAAGAAAAACTTACCAATCAACTCCCAGAAGGGCCTGCCTCTAATTATGTTGTACCAATGGTAAGCTGAGACAGGAAGAGCATAACTGGGTCTAGCCTGAGCAATTCAGTGACTCAGTGTCAGTACTTTCTATCTGTAATGTCTATTTTCTTTTCAAAAATGAGACAAGGGACTGGGGAGATGGCTCAGTAGAATAAGCGCTTCCCTGGCAAGCACAAGGGCCTGAGTTCAATCCCTGGTTCTGAAAAAAAAAAAAAATTAACATAATTGATCTTTCTATCTCGTGTGTGTTTTTAAATCATTGAACATATGTGAAGCTGATACTGAGATACTTGAGTTACATGAAACAACTTTTCTTTTCAAGAGCAGTAAAGTTACAAGGGGCCTAGAAGTATCTTGTACACCTACGTTGTGTTCTAGATATTGATTGGTAGTGATTCAGCGTGTCAGTTCATTTACCAGTATAAGTTGGAATAGTTAAATATGGCTAAAACATCAGTAGTTGTCTCAGAGGAGATTACAATGCTTAAAAGTTTTAGTAGAACTAAAATTACATTTATTTAGTTTCCTTTTTGACGATTTAAAGTTTAAAGAAAATATAACAAATTTTTTTGTAATATTCCCTTCTGTGAAAGTATTTTGAAACAATGTCTTGCTGAGTCACTGAATTGCTCAGGCTAGACCCAGTTATGCTCTTCCTGTCTCAGCTTCTCAGAGCACTGGGGTTATAGTTGTGTAGCCCACACCAACTTTATGGATCACTGCTACAGGTGATGGGCACTGGGTTTAGAGATCATTTTCTAGCAGTTGCTGTGTTTATCTTAGGTCTTTTTTCATAATAATTCACTAGAGATTCAAAGTTAGATGTGAAACCTCATGGAAATTTTGTGTTACAAATGTATTCATAAAGTTTCTGAAGAATTTTAATTTTTCATAAAATTTAAAATTTGTTTTCTAAAGTAACTTTTTAATACTTAAAAATATTTCAAACTTGTCAGTCCTGCCTCAGCCTCCCAGAGCGCCTCCTTACAGGCAAGAGTCAACAGTCCTGGCTCTCTCTCAGTACTTTTTTATTTTGACATAGCGTCTCACTAAGTTGCCCAGGCCCGACTCAAACAGCATTTGCCTGCTTCAGCCTCCCAGAGTGATAGGGTCACAAGCATGCACCACCATCCTGGCTAATGATATTCCTAATGTTCATACCAGGAGCCCTCTGGCACAGATGGAAGAAGAAAGAAGGGAACATGTAGCCAAGATGAAGAAGATGGAGATGGAGATGGAGCAGGTGTTTGAGATGAAGGTCAAAGAGAAAGTTCAAAAGCTGAAGGACTCTGAAGCTGAGGTAACCAATCTACTATTCCATCTGATAGTACTCTAAGATCAGCTCTGATCACATTGGTAGGTAGTATAATGTTTCTACATGTGTTTGTCCAGTGTTAATGCTGTAATGTAATAAAATGCAGAAATAAAAGCATTGTGTTTATTATAAAATATACTTTGATATATAAGAACTTAGACACAATAAGAATTACTGGTCAGTTATAATGAGCTATGAAAAACTTGTAGAGTTAGGAAAAATAAAATTATAAGCCATTTGATATGAGTGGTAGAGTTTTATGTGGATATACAAATATAAAATAATGTTAGATGGTAGTAATTTCCTAACCTTATGTATGTGAGTGAATTGTGCTCTGAATTGTGTCCCTGTGTTTCCTTAACTAGAAATATTTTCTTCTGCTCCTACTTTTTTTATTTTCTTAATGGTTTGCTATGAGGAAGATTTCACCTTAGATTTGACTTCCATCTTTGCTCAAGTATATCTTAGGTGATTTTCTTTTGGAAAATTGCATGAATTGGTAATAAAGATGTCACTTTTATGGACTTATAAATGAGAAAATAATTATGTGAAATTATAATCTAAATTCAAGATACTCACTGATAAATCTTTAGTAGATCTTCGTTCTACTAAATCTTTGTTCCTGGACAACTAAAGAGTTTGAATAGACCTTGGGTATTTGGTGTAATAAGACTTAATCTTTCTTATTTGTTGGTGATTTTCTTCAGAGATAGCTTGCCTCGTGCCTTATTCACCTAATAATCCCTTATATTTTGTGGTGACATTGAGTGTTTCCCACCTCTCAACCAACAGTTTCTTACAAGATTAAATCTCGGAATAGAAAGGAGCAGCTGTGTTAGAATCACTAGGGCTTGTTGAAAATCCAGTCTTACTACCCATAGATTCTAGGTGAGTAGTGCAGGATGAGGTGCAGGATTCTGCAGTTTTGCAAGAAACGCTTGCTTTCCCCACCTCCACTTTCTCAGCTTCTAATTAGGAGACTTAGGTTCACGTCTTGGCGTTCCCACTTTCTAGCTAGTGATCTTGGGTCAGCCCTTACATTCTACAGCAGTCTCCCCATCTGAACAGTGGAAGCAATGTGTTTTTCTGCTCAACTTGCAGCATATTTGGGGGTTCCTCATAAAGTGCTGCACACATATAGGATTGTTGTACTTTTTTCCCTGCTTGTCAAGATGATTGTCTTGGGTCACTAGTCCTCTGGGTGGCAGGTCCCACAGCAGGAGACACCCACCCGGATGCTTCCCAGATGGCACTGTGAAGCTGTTGCAGAATGACCTGGCACCGTGCTCCCACATGTGATCCTGGAGGAATCATTCTTCCGCTCCTGGTTTCTTAAAAGTCCTGTTTTATATATTGTGCTGTGATTTAGCTCCAGCGACGCCATGAGCAAATGAAAAAGAATTTGGAAGCACAACACAAAGAATTAGAGGAAAAACGTCGTCAGTTTGAGGAAGAAAAAGCAAACTGGGAAGCTCAGCAACGTATTTTAGAGCAACAGAACTCTTCAAGGTAACTAATGTCAGGTTCCTGAAAGATGGATATGCTGATGAATTGCTACCCTATTTATTTTAAAAACATAGCCATTTAAAAAGCCCTCACCCATTACGCATCCCTAGCCCAGTGTTTCGTGGGGGAAGGTTCTATGGATGGAGTCCTCTGGTATATACTGTGACAGTATTATTTCAGTACATTTCCATGGCCTATCTTTGTAATTCAGTTTAGCAGCTTCATAACATTCTCCTTGGTTAACTCAGCATAATTGATTTCTTTCTTCCTTTCCCCATGGCTGAACAAAGAGACAGTTCTCAATTTTTAACATACAAAATTTGAATGACACTGCTACAAAGACCTGTTCTACATTTAGGGTAGTATCTTAATTCTTTAAGGATGATAGCTTAAGGTGGGAGTTTATCTGTTCCTCACTCTTAATTGATACAGAGTGCAGTACTAATGTGCCCTGGCTTGCTCTTTCTTATTATCCCATTTAAAACTGAAAACTTGGGATCCCTGTACAGATTCCATAGTGTGCCCATTGTAGCCCAGCACTTTCAAGAGTAGACAGCGCTTCTGTCACACTGTCTTTCTATTAGCTTCCGCCTAAAGATGAGATTATGCCTGTATGCTGGGGCAGTAGGAGCACAAGGCATGGTTAGTTGGTCTTTTCAGTTCTGTTCATTTGGGGTAGAAATAAGTAAGAGAATTTTGTCATTTCTTTGTGGGTTTTTTTAAATTTTAAACCTGTTATCCTTTAATTTTGTCAGATATTTCTTTAAGAAAAGACTACTGAAAAAAAAAAGATTACTGTAGGGCGGTGTTGCCTTATCCTTTACTTCTAGATTTCCTCATTTTGTAAATGAAAAGACAGTGTTTGAGCAACGAGCCTGTCAGTGGGGTGGCTACGGCCACCCTGTGTTGTGTTCATGTTGTTTTCTCGTCACTCATCTGCATTTTCTTTTCATCATTTTAGAACCTTGGAAAAGAACAAGAAGAAAGGAAAGATCTTTTAAACTCCCTGTTGACCACCAGTTACATATTAGTTGCCAATACGCCAGCTTGGACATCAGTGTTTGTTGGATCCGTTTGACCAATTTGCACCAGTTTTTAAATCCATAATGATGGATTTAACAGCATGACAAAAATTATTTTTTTGTTGTTCTTGATGGAATTAAGATGCCTTGAATTGTCTAGGGTGTTGTGTACTTAGAAATAACAGCTCTAAGTACCTTTCTACATTTTCTTTCCTTTTTTTATTATTAAACCGATGTCTTCAATTTAATGCAAGAGAACATTTTACTGTTGTACAATCATGTTCTGGTGGTTTGATTGTTTACAGGATATTCCAAAATAAAAGGACTCTGGAAGGTTTTCATTGAGGATAAATTGCCATAATATGATACCAACTATGCTTCTCTGATAATTATAATACAGAGGTTCCATTCAGTGCAGCCTACACAATAATGTAATTTAGTCTAACACAGTTGACCCTATTTTTTGACACTTCCATTGTTTAAAAGTACACATGGAAAAAAACCTATATGCTTACAGTGCACCTAGAGCTTTTTTATAACAACCTTTTTTTTTGTTTGTTTGTTTGTTTGTTTTGGATTCTTTTAAGTATATATTATTCTCATTTAGTGCCCTCTTTAGCCAGAATCTCATTACTGCTTCATTTTTGTAATAACATTTAATTTAGATATTTTCCATATATTGGCCCTGCTAAAATAGAATATAGCATCTTTCATATGGTAGAAACCAACAAGGAAACTTTCCACTAACTCCCTTTTTACACTTTATGGTAAGCAGCAGGGGAAATGCATTTATAGGTCATTTCTAGGCAGATCGCGAAGCTAACGACCAACCTGTCTCTACCTACACACTAGAAAGGGACGTCATGGCCTCCCAAGGAGAAGAGTCACCATTCTGCACTTAGCTGTATCCATATATTGCATTTCTGTATTTTTGTTTGTATTGTACAAAATTCACATAATAAACAATGTTGTGATGTAACAGAGTGCAGAGTCCTGAATATTCTCCATCCAGTTACACGAGAATAGAACATGTTTGAGGAAAATCTTTCCAGTTTGAATTTGCCACCTCCACAGTGGTGTCTCTCATGTGTGTATGTATCTCATGGAGATTAGTGTGTGCTGCTTTTTCTGTCCAAAAGGGTCTACACTTGGGCCTGTTTCTGTCTGATTGATACATGAAATAAACTGAGGCTGATTTGCACCTGCCTCCCATTAGGTGCACCCTAAGTTCCTGGGCACTGACACTTTTTAAACTGAGAAGAGGGTGGTTAATTTCTTTTCAGTAAGGTGAAAATGTTTTACCCTGTTTGCTCACTTTTTAAAGTAATGATCTAGGCAGAAGTAAATGTTTGTTCTAGTTAGCTAATGCTTTTGTTTAATTCAGAGGCTAAAAGGATTTTTAAAAAGCAGTGTGCTTGAAAGTACTGCTTTTCAAAGATGTTTAGGTCTGAATACTAGGAAAATTATTCTCCTAATAGAATCTTGACTTTACGTAAAATTTTTCCCCAGGTAAGGTAAAAGTAGATCTCATAGAACATTTTAGAGTATCATTATTTGTCCTTACTTGCTGGCTATCACTGATTAAAAGTTGCCATGAGAGTTGTGTTAGTCTTAAAAGGTTACCTGCATCTGGAAAAGTGTGGTTCTTTATAAACAACTTGCCATGGGATTGTGTAGGCACAACAGCAGAGTGTTCCCCGGCCCTACAAGCGTATATAGCTTTTACGACAAGCCACAGCTAGGATCAGGGTTCAAGAATAACAACAGCAGGGATTATTTATTTATTTATTTATTTTTAATGTTTTTCTGGGTGTTGGGGTTCCTGTGTGGAGTTAATAGCCCCTAGTCAAAAAGCTTCTGTTTTAGGGAATTAAGATCCAGCTACTGAATTTGGAGAGGCAAAATGAAAAAGTTTATACTGACTGCGTGCCTAACCGGTGAGGTGCTGCTGCTTCTGGGGAAAATTACATTTTAATATTCTGTGTGTTACAGTTGTTGCTAAGATACCTTTATTCTTCCATTCCACTGAAGGTAGCCTTCATCCTTGCCATGCAGAGGGCTTTGCCGTATCTGGTGGAAGGACCGAAGTGATGTTACAGCATATCTCCTGACTTGACCACAGGATTTTCTCACACACTGAGGGCTGTTTTTCTATATGCCCTGTGGATTTCTGTGGTTTCTTGCTGCTAATCAAGTGGGGTTGGCCATTTGGTGGTCGAGTTTTACTGCCACCTAGTGGAATGGGACTGGGTTATTCCCTTATCAGATCCACCTTTCACTGGCTCTGTTCATAGTGAATTGGATGCATGTTTATTTCTGTGTAGCTCAGGTTATAATCTTGAAAGCTGGAAAGATATGGGCTTGCCATTTAGATTCTCGAGCTGGATGACATATTAACCACCTGAGCGTTGTGACCTGCTGCACTCTTCACATTTTATCTTCTTGGGGAAACTGAGGTAGGAATGGAAGTCAGATGAGAAGAGAAAGCTGGCAGCAGGATCCCTACAAGTGCAGTGAGAGACAGGCACTGTGTTAAGGTCACCTGGGTCGCTGTCTCCAAACCCAGTCCTGCATCCTTAACTAATGTGTGTCCCAGTGTGTGTCATACCCATGTGTCTTCATAAAGGTTTGTGTAGAGAAGCGTGCCGCAATGCTCCTGTGAATACCACAAGGCTGATCTGAAGAGGGAAGTCAAGGCCTGCGCCCCAGGCCCCAGTGCATGCTGGCTCGCCCACTCCAGGGCTGCTGGCCTCTGCTGTGGAGCTGAGTCAGTACTCAGGTATTTCTGCATCCCCAAGGAAGGGCCTGCTGAGGACAGCTGTGGTGGCGTCCTCTGGTTTCCAAAGGGAAGTTTGCCTGTCCAGTAAGCAAGTTCTTTCTTGTGAACAGCTTGTAATTGCAAGCAGAAATCCCTGTACTCCATCCTAGCTCCATTCCTCCTGTTTAATTTCCTCAGCTGTAGGGTAGAACCCATCCCTCCTGTGCTTTTTAGACTCAGTATTGTAGCTGTGATGTCCCGTGAAGATGTCCAGGCCCTGGGGACACCACATCTGCACCCCACCCCCTGCTGTGCCAAGGGCAGGGATGTGTGGGGGCCATGGTACATCTGCTAGGTTACCTTTCTCGAAGAATGCATGGAGCTGTAAATCTGGACCTGCTCCCTTAGATGTAGAGCTAGGTGGCATTTTTGAGTTAATAAGTGAGCCAGTCCCACAATGGGTCAGCTCATTGAAATGAGAACATGTGTTAGAGAATGCTGAGTGATTGTCGCATTTGTCACGGTTGAAGCACTGCTGCTTATGAAGTGGACTTACTTCCCACCATTGGGCATTAATCCAGAGTGGCTGGAGTTGAATGTTGGACATGTTCGGCCAGTTTCCTGTGTTCATCAGAAACCTTTGAGAGCTTCATGAAAAGAACGGGGACTTCTTGGCCTGCACATGCACCCTAAGGGGTGCTGGGCCCAGCCGGCCGGCTGAAGAGGTCGAGTGAAAGGGGACCTTGTTCTGTGCCAGGCTGGGTGGGTGTAGCCTGGATCCACACTGGCCCTGTGGAACCTGCTTCCGATGTGGTGCTCATGGACCTGCCGGGGCCCAGGATAGCCAAACCATCCAGAAGCTTTCGAGATGCGCAGCAGCGTAGTTGACACTCCTGAGAGCATGATAGATCTGTGAAGAGTAGGTGTGGGCTAGTGGAGGAGCAGGGTTAGCCACTGCCAGCCCACTCGGTTTTCCTCCTTGCCCTGTTCGAGGTGGACCCTGCCAAGCTCCCTGACCCCCAGGGGTGTTGCAAGGAGTGGCTGTCTCTGTGGGAGCCTTACTGCAAGTACAAGGTGCAGCACCCCCTGTGGGGGAGGGGCTGGGTTTGGTACCCCAGTAAATTGTTTTGGCAAAGACAACGTTTCCCCATCCTTTAATTCTGTTGTTTAGGCTGTTGCTGGCCTCATTCATATTTAAATCCATGTTCCAGTCCACTGTGGGCACAGAAAAGGCCTGTGTCTTGGCTAGGCCAGTGACTTAGACAACTTGGCAAGTTGTAGGTGAAATGACAGGCTCCCTGGTGTGGCCCCTGGATGTTCATGTGGGCCCCCCACCTGCCACACTGCTCTCCAGAGGCCTGGGATTATATTTTCTCTGCTTAGAACTAGGGGAGCTGCCACCCCACCGCACCCCTAGGTTAAATCTTGTAATACAGTTATACAAATCTATAGCTCGGCACATTTTACTAAAGAGTAATGCTGTCATCAACACTTCAGGAACGCAGTTCTTCATCCAGACAGCAAAGTGGAGTCCTTGACCTTGGAGTTGTTGGCCCGAGGTTCCAGGGGCTCAGGTTGGCATTTTCCTCACCAAAACCTCTGCCTCCTTGGTGCCTGCTGAGACCCACCATTTGCAGGCAGCTGTGTGGAGCTTGCAGCGGGAGCCACTGGAGCAGAGTCACCTTTGTCTTCTCTGCTCCAGCAAGTGGCACCTGTTTAGTTATCTCAAAGAGGAGACCAACATCTCCAGCTTGTACTGCAGGAACCCACGACTGTCCTGCCCCATGCATTTCCCCTGGGAGCAGCAGCTGTTTTATCAAGCAAAGAACTCGCTCAGAAATTGGAGGGACTCAAAATCAGAAAAATGCACCAATGAGTGTTTGGAGCGTGGGCTGTGTGTGAAATACCTGGAGTTCACAGAAATTCTCCAGGCTCAGGTATTCATTGTAAATGAGCAGACGAAAATTACGTGGTTATGTAGTAGTGACCCATTGCACAGCACATAACTTCCAATCCTAGAAGCAGCGTTTAAAGCTCAATAAAACTGAGGACAGCATTCCTCAGCTGTGTGAGTCACGAGCCGACTGGTTCTGGCCAGGGCCAGGGGCTGTGGTTAAAAGTGCTGGCTGCACTGGAGAGGTCTGCTTCCAGGGTGGCTCACGGATGTCACTCACCAGGGGATTCAGTTCCCTTGTGCATGAACCTCTCTGTAGGCTCCTGCGGTATCCTTGTGACTACGATGGTTAACTGCAATCCAGGACGAGTGATCATGAGAGACCTGTGGCCATAGCCCTGAGCCCAGTCTGCATGCTTCTACAGAGCATTCTGGACACATCTTGCCCAAATAGGGAAGCGTTCCTCAGGCTGGGTATCCACTTGGTCAATCCCTGTTACAGCCTGTAGGTTCATCAGGCTCTGCTAAGGTGCCTAGGATGCATGATGCAGAGGCTGTGCCCCTGCCTGCTCTGCACACAGGCCAGCTGTCCTGTGGGCTGGACCCGGCTTGCTCCAGGCTTATATCCCTGCAGTGTCTTTACCTACAAGCCCTCACTCTGGAACAGCCTCGTGGAAGCACTGTAACAGTCCTAGTGTGCAGGGTGCTACCGACGGGGTCACTGAGCCCAGAGGAGCCAGGCTGCACCCTCCCTGCACGTGGCTGTCCCGCAGCTCTGCCTGTCCAGCTTCTGCCTGCGCCCCTCCTCCCCAGCTTTGCACCTGGGTCCTCAAGGGCTTCCGCCTCACACCCCTGCGCACTGCTGTACCCAAGCATAATTTTTTTCTGGATCATTTTTTAATTCTTGTAGCCCTGATGCCCCAAATAGTAAATATTTGTCATGTGTATTTCCTAAAAACCTCATGAAGTTTAAGTTTTTAAAATGTATTTACTTATTTTTGGTACTGAGCTACATCCCTAGCCCTTTTTTTTTTTTATAGATTTTATTTTGTGACAGGATCTTGTTAAGTTGCTTAAGTTGCTCAGGCTGGGCTGACAACTTGGGATCCTCCTACGTTGGCGTGCCGGGGCTACAGGTGCGCAGTGGGAGCACCTCTCTTGTGCCTTGCCCCTCAGTAATGCTGTATTTAGGCGTTCCTGTTTCTACAGCCTGCATTTGGTATACTGGCCCACAGCCTCCAGTTCATGCTGTTGCACACATTTCCCTGTAAGTGAATTTAAGGGGGTCACCTCAGTGTCCCTTTTCCTGGTCTCTTGGGGACCAGTAAG